TGTGTGGCAGTCAGGGCTCACAACCCATGTTTTTTTTTTTTTTTTTGTTAGCGAGCCACCGCCCTTTTAAACCTCTTCCTTCATCCTTCTGTTTTTTAATCTTTTTGTTTTCTTTTTTTTTTCCTTCATCCCCCTTTCATCTTTCTTTCATCACCCAATCACCCTAACACATTACCCCCAATCCTAATTCATAATGACTGCTCAAGATTTGACCAACTTCTTTGCATGGGCCGAAGAGAACGGCATCAAGTGGGACAAGAACGCCATCGAGGTCCGTGAGGGCAAGCACGGTCTCGGAGTCTATGCCAAGAAGAAACTCGAGGCCGGATTCGAAGGTACATACCACCGCTAAAAGCAGAAGGTGTTCCGGTCAAAGCAAAGTCTCGGATAATTCTCCCCGTTTCTCTACCTCCTTCGCGCGTGTCTGACTGTTTTATCGCGTGTTTCTTCCTCTTTTTCGATAGCCATCCAGGTCCCCAAGTCGATCGTCCTCTCGGCCATGTCCACCGGCATTGCCAACCTGTTGGAGGAGGAGAACGTTGAGGGCTATGTTGGATTGACCCTTGCTGGCATGTACGAGGCCTCCTTGGGCGCTGAGTCTTTGTGGTCTGCCTACTTGGCCCTCCTTGCCAACCGCACCCCCGCCATGGCAAGCGACCTGCCTGAGGAAGCCCGCGAGCTGATGAAGAAGTGCGAGGCCTATGCCGATATCGAAACTGACCTTGTAAGTGGGAGCACGCACTTTACTAAAGCTTTAATGCTGTGTGTGGGGGGTATATTAAGACCTTTTTTCGATGTGGTCATTGTTCGTTGTGCTGTTGTTTACCGTGCCATTCGAAGGAAGGATGGAAAAAAAAGTTTAAAGTTCGCTATTGTGTTTGTTTACTTGTTTGTGGTGTTGTTTTTACGGTGGCGATGGGATAGGGCCTGGAAAAGACGGAGGGTATAGGTATGCGTGTGGGTGAGAGTGAGCAATGACGACAGACTGTTATCATTTTTTTTTTGCGGTTGTGTTGTCATGCTTGACTTTTTCCAGAAATTATGTCCGCAATGGCCTTCTTTTCAATATCCGTTCGGTGCAATGCCTTGTTCCTCTGCTGACCCAATCCCTACCACACTTCCATCAACCATGATACCATGATATCTGTTGTATTCCACGTTCAATAGAAGGACATGCAGAGCGACTATGACACCATCGTCGTCCCCTTCATTGAGAAGCACCCCGATGTATTCACCGAGGACATCAAGGCTAAGTTCTTCTCCTTCGAGAACTTCCGCATCATGACTGCCCACGTCTCCACCCGCGCCATCGATGTCGACGACTACCACGTCTCGGCCTTTGTTCCTTTTGTTGACTTGTAAGTACACAAGCCAAGTTGATCAGGAACAAACTGACGACGCCGATTTCTCTGTACCGTGATTAACACACTTTATCTTTGAATTGTACATTATGGCAATCAAAATAGCATCAACCACAGCTCCGAGCCTAATGCCGAGCACTTGGCCCACGAGGATGTCTGCGAGGTGTGCGGTGCCCTCTCCTGCGAGCACATGGACGAGTCCGACGAGTCCGATGACGAGGACATCGAGGAGGTTCCCGAGTTGGCCCATGAGAACAAGGAGAAGCGCGCTGCTGCCAAGAAGGCTGCCGCTGCTGCCAAGGACTCTGAGTCTGACGATGAGGAGGATGGTGACTGGGAGGACGAGGATCCCGAGAACACCTGCGACATTGTCCTGGACGAGGACATTAACAAGGGCGATGAGATCACCCGCAACTACGGACCCTTCCCAAACAAGATCTTCTTGAGCAAGTACGGCTTCGCCGAGATTGGCAACCCTGATGACACCGTCACCATCCAGCTGGAGATGATCCGCAAGGCTGCCGACGGCATCCTCAACAACGCTGCCTTGGTCGAGGAGCGCATCAAGTGGTTCTTGGATACCGAGGACATCTTTATTGGCGAGTCTGATGACGAGGACTCTGATGATGAGGAGCACGAGGGTGGCTGCTGCGATCACGACCACGAGGGCCATGAGCACCACGATCACGAGCACACCCACGCTGCCAAGGAGGCTATGGCCGAGGTTGACGAGGAGGATGAGGAGGAAGACTCTGACGATGAGGATGACTTCCCTCGCGATATCATGTACATGGACTCTGACGGTGCTGTCGATGACCGTATCCTCATGTTGATGAACGTCCTCTTCATGGAGCAGGAGCAGTTCGACAAGGTCCAGGAGTCGGTCGATGTTGCCACCGAGTACTTCAACGAGGTTTTCCTTCGCCGTGATATTGAGGAGAACGGCGTCGAGATCATGGAGGAGAACGAGGATGGCACTGAGGACAGCAAGGTCGAATTGGAGCCCCTCACTGATGCCGCCCGCCAGGTCCGCAAGAACGTTCTCGAGGCCATCTTGGCTGTGATCCGCCTCCGTGCCGATGCCTACAATGTCACTGACAAGACCACTGCCGAGGATGATTTGGAGACTCTCTTGAACGCCGGCCTCTCTGGTCCCTTGTTCTACGGTGGTGTCTGTGTCCAGGGCGAGAAGCAGATTCTCCAGTCTGGTCTCAAGCACTACGGCGATCTCCTTGCTGCCATCTAAATTGCTTTTTCCCCTCTGACTCTCCTTCTGTTACAAATAGTCTCTACTCATTTTCTTCCCTTTCCACTCTTCACTTGCATCATGGCTAGCATAGCTACATATCCCCACAAAAATAATCTTTATCTAGAAAAATAAACTTCTTCGCTTTGTCACATTTGTGGATAGCATATTTGTCACCCATGCCTGCTAAGCCACCCGAAGTGGATCATTGAACATGTATAAAGCTGTCTTTAATTTCCGAACTCCCCACTCCAGCTCTATCTACCCTCTTACCATGACTACCACATCAGCAGCGCGAAGTATCCAAAGAATTGTTCAAGCACGGGTAAAGAAATTACAAATAGCTACTACAAAGCTCCAAGACTCCTAGTTGAAACTAACTGATGAAAAAAAAAAAATTACAATCAATAGGGTACTGCAGATGGAGTGGGCACGATCGTACAGAGGACCATTGGAGGCGATGAACTCGAGTCTCTGGACCCGTTCTTAACCCTGGACGAGTTCCGCATGACAAAGCCTACTCCCTCCAAAGGCTCGAAGTACCCATCCTCTGCTACCAAGAAGGAATCTGCCGGATTCCCGGACCACCCCCATCGCGGGTTCGAGACCGTGACCCTCATGCTCGAGGGCCACTTCCAGCACCAGGACTTTACAGGCCGCCAGGGTACGATTGGGCCGGGCGATGTACAGTGGATGACGGCGGGCCGTGGGATTGTGCACGCCGAGATGCCCTACTTTCCGGATGAAGAGACACAGGGCAAAAAAAAGGCATCATCGTCGATTTGGGGCTTGCAGTTGTGGGTCAATTTGCCCAAGAAGCATAAGTTGTGCAAGCCTCAGTACCAGGACCTGAAGGATGAGGCGATCCCTTGCTGGACTAGTTCAGGGAGCGATGGTGGGGATGAGGCGCAACTTGATCAGCTGGAGGATCTGGTTCTTGCGGACAAAGATGAGTTCGAATTGAAATCGGGTAAAGACAGCGAAAAGAATTCCAGCGCACAGACATCAGAGCATGAATCAACAATGAAAACAAAGAATGGGCACGGACATCATACCAAACATGAAGGCATCTTTATCAAGGTTATTGCGGGAGAGTCGCATGGGGTTTCCAGCAAGGTCTACACACGCACGCCCACCATGTACCTCGAGATCAAGATGCAAAAGCATCAAACGTTAACTGAATGGATCCCTAAAGAGTATGAGGGGTTCATCTATGTTCTTCAAGGCAAGGCGCGCTTTGGATCCAGTTCTCAGGGACAACAGCTCAACAAGCAAGCCATCGTGGAGGGCAAGCCGCAGCAGTTGCTGATTCTTTCGCCATCCTCACCCTCAGATTGCACCACACAGTACAAGGATACGGCCGAAACCAAGGCACGCACCTCGAATTTAGCTACAGACACCGATCAGCAGGAGCCACCTCGGGCGCCTTTTCAGAGAACTTCGTTCTTGGAGATCGAGACCATGGAGGAGCCATGTCATTTCGTTCTGATCGCGGGAGAACCCTGTCGGGAGCCCGTCTTTCGGCAGGGGCCCTTTGTCATGAACTCGAAGGAGGAGCTCGAGAGGACTTTCCGAGATTACGAGGAAAAGAAGCGCGGGTTTGAGCGGGCGAAGGACTGGGTGTCAACTATTGGGCAGCAAGCACCGTTGTCAGCGCCAGAGATGTCGCAATCTTCCTCTAATAAATCTGAACGAGGAAAAGGAAGGAATAGTGGTACACCAGAGTCTGCCAATGGCTCCAGAAAGAAGCCATCGGAGAATAAGCGCAAAGGCAAATAATAAAATCGGTGATTCTGACAAAAGAAGTCTGCAGCTTAGCTCTTAACATACGCACGTGGGGAGGTGCTGGGTGCAGGACGGAATAGATGGAGCAGTTACCATATTGCTACTGTTCGTACAGGATTTTTTTTCTTTCAAATGGCATGATGGCGTTGATTGATATCAGGACTGTATGTGAAAAAGACAGGGTGCGCTACAGCAGCTAGCAACTCTCATGCAAAGTATGTCTCCAAATGGATTTAGGAGTTGGAGCTTTGAAGTTCCCAAAGGAACAACTCATAGCGACATGGACACTATTGTGACATATGAGAAGCGAAGAAAGTGTGGCGCCTAGGACATGATCGTCCCTAGTCTCTTTCTCTCTCATTCACTTTCCCTATATGCAAATATCGGGAGCTGAAAAGTAAAAACCTTCCGTTTATAGTTACGAATACCTTGGCATCTACATTCCTAGAAAAAAAAGTAGGACAACGCGTGCAAATGTTGCTAATGTTTTACAACGTGACCGTGCGAGTACAAATGTAAGGCGACTGGCTTGCTCCACTCGCTCTTCGTGCTTTTGACATAGCCACTAGCACGAAAATAACGCCTCCAAAGACACTAAAAAAATAAGAGGGAGAAGGAGGGATTCGAACCCACGACTGTAGATTATGACAGACTGCATGAGTTAAATCTTGCCTTTCGGCAAATATGGGTATGCAGCGCCTTGGACCACTCGGCCACTTCTCCCGTGTTGATTCTGTCCGCCATTTCTATTTCCACATCATAGGCGACCACAGCACAGCCAAACAGCATCTCAAGTAAAACATAGCCATTCTGAAAATCTAGGCCATGTATTTCTCGGCCACGGACTACTGACAATAAAAAATTCCAGCCTGGAGAGAGCGGGTCTCCCCTCCTTCTCCATCTTGTCGTCTGCTGAGCTGTCCATATGGATCCAAAACCCCAAACTGGATACCCTATGTGATGTACATACAACTTTGCTAAGCATTTTTTTTTTGCCACCAAGAAAACGCCCAATGTTGAAGGAACACTCCTCAAAAAACTCCATCTCTGCATGCATCAACTTCAACGCTTTCTCATCCCCATCATGCCTCCCAAGGTTGCTCCCATGGACATTCCTCACATTCAAGAGCTTGTCTGCAGGAGCCTGTCATCGCAGGACATATACCGATGCACACTTGTCTGTCGCAATTGGCATAGTCACTTGAGCCGTTTCCTGTGGCGCTCTATCTCGCTGCCCACCAAGGGAGCTCTCCGACGGTTCCTGGCCTCACCTCAAGCCCAGCATGCTTCAGAGCTCTCCTACTTGATCGAGAATCTGACATCGCCCTACTCCGATATGTTTTCCCGTTTTCTATCGACCGTTGTGACCCGCAACATCAAAGTCCTGAGCCAAAATAACCAGGATGCTTCAGAGAATAGCATGGACTCACAACTTGATGGTTCCGCAATTGAGGACCTGCAACATTTGTTTAGCGAGACAACCATAGCACAACCTTCCGTCCAGGTCTCGACGAATGTGATATGCCAGTTCAACCGGCTGATCGAGCTGCGGAGCACCCGTATTGATATCACAGACGCTCCGATGAACCATTTCCGGAAGCACCGACATGCCCTCCCCACACTTTTCCAAATCATTCAACAAGCACCCCTGCTCAAGGTCCTGGAGCTTGGTTCCTTGCCCATGGACCCTGCAACTATCGCCTGGACTATGCCCATTCTCTGGCACCACCCATCTCTTGAAGAGCTTAAGCTCTGGAGCCGAGGCATCATTCGTGTGAGCGATATTCGTTCGATCCTGTGGTACTCGACCGGCCTCAAGAAGTTCACCTGGCTCCAAGACCCACAGAGACCCGCCCTGATGACCTTAGATTGCCACCTTGTCTCCGAAGCCCGCATCCAGGAACTCCAGTCCCTGTTCCCTGGCTCCCACCCCAACAGTGTCGAAATTTTTCATTACATTGAAACCCGCACCGCAGCCGCATTGGCGCAATATCGCCTGGAAGATCTCGACCTGCGCGCCGCGCCCATTCCACACGATTTCACACGAAATCTCTTCCTTCCATTCTTGCGAGGATACTGTCCCAACTTGAAACGTTTGGTCTACCCCTGGATTCCAGGAAACGACGACCCAGAGCTTGACTTTGACCCCTATCTGCCCGGCTTGCCTATGGTCCTCTACGACAGTATGGCCCATCTGCGCCACTTGGACTTCCGCAACGTGAATCACACCGTGGACGAAATGATGGAGACCATCCTCGAGAGCTGCCGCCAGCTCGAGACGTTCTACGCGCCCGGCGGAGAAACCTCTTTTGGGGACCTGTCCTGCATTGCGCTGCTCAGCTACCATGCCCAGACCCTGCGGGTAGTTTCGTTTGCAAAATGTGGCATCTCCAACGTCAACATGATCCGCGTACTACAAGAGTGTCCGAACCTGCAGCGGTTCCGCGCCCTCATGACGGATGTGGAGCAGGACGAGGACAACTGCGGCTACTTCTTTGTGGGCGACATGGCCGTGGACCCGGTGTTTTCGTTCCAGGCGCCCGCTGGGACTGAGAACCTGCAAAGACTGTATGGGCCATGGGCGTGCAAGGGCCTCAAGACATTGTCGTTGCGGTTCAAAAAGCGGGCCAATCAGACGGCCCTGGATCTCGTCCCAAGGTTACTGCTGGCCCGCATTGCTCGGCTGCAGGAGCTCGAAGAGCTGTTCCTGGAACAGGCGGATCCAGAGAATGAAGACGAGAACGAAAACGAGGATCAAGATCTGCTGGAGGACCTAATGGTGCTGAACGAAACATGCCATTTCTTCACAGGGCTCCTGCTACTGATAGGTTTACGGCGTCTGAAGCGATTTGTCCTGATCAACATGGACTTGGCTCTCGTGGAACCGGCGTGTGCGACACTCGAGGGGCTTCTGCCGGGGCTACAGGAGCCGATCAGGATCTGGGAAAAGTCGCGCATCGGAACCAGATGAAAGAGAAATCGTTGTTTCTGAAAAATAGTGTGCTGAAATAGTTTGGTCCGCAAGTCGGGGTCATTGAGTGCTGATTGGAGTAGCATTCGCCGCCTCTCTCCCTCTTTTTTTTTTTTTTCCTCTGTAGTTTATTATCTCGGATCATTAGGCCCATGTTGAGTATTGTGATAGTTGAAGGGCCGTTGGGAAGTGGGCGGAAAAATGGACGCTCCTGTGTTAGTAGCGGTGTTCCAGCAGCATGAGAGTACATTGGCTGTAATGGCTATTTATTTGGGATATGGGGTGTGGGCGCCTAATACAGTTTCGGCTTTTAATGATCATGAAGGTAGAGAGAGGAAAAAGTTGGATGCGCAAGGATTTATTCGGACTCCTCGTACTTGTGGGCAATGTCCTTCCACTGGCGCTATTGGACATAGAGAGACGCGATTTGGTTAGAGCGCAAGTAAATACAACAAAGGACCAGGGAGTTGTCAAAATAAGGAGATCCGAGAGCGCGACGGATCGCTTCCTGTGTGGTCTGTGATATGTCGCGCATATGTTTTTGTCTGATGGGCTAGAGGCGGATCGAGAGGTGCTGTATTTATTCCCTTGTCGTGTTCATCCCAGTTTAGGACTAGTAGCGAGGTGCTGGTATCTTGGCGATAGGTCCGTGTCTTTGTCGCTGCTCGTGATGCTGTTCCCGTTAATACTGATTTGATCCGAAGGTGTCCGATGGCGTGTTGTCATCGCTTTTCCGAGGGCTCCGATCCGCGACGTCGTGTTCCACTCGAAATCAGGTGAGGTCGGAATATATCAAGAGAAAAGAAAGAATGAGGGCTACTAGAATAAATTAATGGAAGCTAACATACGCCCTTGTTGATGTTGTCCCAGATGCGGTCAGAGACGGAGTCGAAGACCATCTCGGCAGCAAAGGCAGAGACGAAGATGGTGGTCAAGAAGATGGAGTTACGCTTGACGATGGTGTTGTAGCCGAAGCGGGCGAACTTGTTGGCGGCAGAGCCGTTGTTGGACTGAACGGGCATGATGATGTGATGGACGATGAGGGGTTATGGAGGAAGGACAATCAAAATTTCGGATGTTCGGATTTGATTCAAATAGCGAGGTGCAGACCAGCCTTGCCTCTCCGAAAGCGTCGAAGTTGATGTCACCGAATGGAATAAAGATCGTCTGTGCAGCACGTTTCATTCCACGTACCAATCAATGTCAACCCAATCACGGTCGTGTACGTTAATTTCAAAGAGAAATAAATCTCCGATCTGACAGCAACCAGCTATTTGCAAGGCTCCGCTGTTGTTGACGAGGTTTCCTTCTCTCACTCTTGCTTTAAAGAAACCCCCTCAAAAGAACTCAAAAATGGAGACCCCCCAGATCACCCTTGAGACCTACGTCCCCCGCAAGTGGTAATAACAACGACCATCCACCGAAACCAGCAACCATGCAGGAGGGAAGCAGACTGTTAAAAAAAAGTTGATCGCCACACAGGATCACGAAATGGAGCACGAAAGAGAGATTTCAAATTGTGAATGTTGCATGTGGAACCCATCATCAAATTCCTTGAATGGCAGGAATCTTCAACAATTCAAATTCAAGATCAAGATCGGCATGGGGGCACCATCATCAAATGGACTCTGCTGATCTTGTGATTGTGATCAACTTTTTTTTTTTTCGAAATCTGGAAAATGGCGAAATTGCATGGGTTCTGCTCATTTTGCTTTGGTCTGACAAGACTCTTTTGCAGTATGACGGGACTCGATCTTTCAAGGCAGTCGCAGCAGTCAGATATCATGGTTGATCATGGATCATGGATCAAAAGTGGATAATCATTCACCAACATGTTCACAAGGGAGGAGAGCATTTCCATGTTGCACAAGAATACTCACCATGTTTTTTTACTTCTGAAATACAAACAATAGCTCCGCCACTAACCGCCTCATCGGCGCCAAGGACCACGCCTCCGTCCAGATCAACATCGGTGATGTTGACGAGAACGGTCGCTACACCGGCTCTTTCACCACCTACGCTCTCTCCGGTTACGTCCGTGCCCAGAGCGAGGCTGATGACTCCATCAACCGCCTTGCCACCAAGGACGGCTGTAAGTTATATTCTTAATTGAATCAACACACGATCACTCGGGGCTATGAAAGCAGAATTCGAGTGCTAATATTTCTTTTTTGCCTCCCTCTTTTCTTAGTGTTGTCCATGGTCTGGAACTACCAGAAGTAAATCTGCTTTTTTTTCCCATTAAAAAAAAGTATATTTATTATCAGTTTTTGACGAATGGTTTTGATACACCTTTCATTTTCTTTTGTGGGGCCCACCCTGGTCATTCCTTCGGATATTTGAAAAACGTGAATAAAAATCGTCCTTAGAGACTCCAGAAAAAAATATAACCAAACAAACACTGAGAAGCTGCAGACATCCCTTGCGAAGGCCATGCATTTGTGCTTTCGTGATTGTAAGCACATGCTGCCGCACAGACACTCGACATTTTGTTGTCATTGTCCTTAGTGCTGTCACCAATTTCTTGCACAGCCTGATTGCTTTCCCACACTAATATGGCGCGAATCCACCATAAAACGGAGATGGGCTGTTCTCATTTTCGATATTTACTACCCGTTTATCATTCAGCCATCAGTTGGCTGAAGGAAATACGCCCTATTGTACTTTGGGAACATCTTTCGGCAGCTTTCAGGTGACAAATACGCTATCTTTGGTTTCACGTTCTCGAATGGAGCCATAAATGTCGTATATG